CATGATTAAACTACTGTTGATAATCTTGAAACCTTCATAACTAGTGAATTAACCTGTTTTGCCAAACTGATTTATTAAAGACTAACTTATGTTATTTTTTTTTATTCCAATTATTATTTAGTAATATATGAAATAGCTTAAATACAATCAACAAAAGGAATAAAGAAAAACGAAATTAAAACTTCAAAATTTCATTCTTCATATGTATTCATGCTTCATATTTCGGATTACAATAACCAGCGTGTCAGTTGTGTACCTGATATTGGAAGCAAAAGAAAATGAAGATGAGAATCAGCANAGAATCAGTAGCAGTAATAACAATACAGCACAGCAACAACAGTTCAGCAGCAGTAACAACTCAGGAACAGAGTTTGCAAACCGGTGGAGTATTAATCCCAAAACAAAAGCTTCAAGCTTTGATGACACAACAAAAATTAATGCTAATTTCAAACAATGAAAGAAAGCAGAAGATTTTTTTTATTTGAAAGTTTGAATATTTTTTCGGAATTTTCTCTCTCTTAAATGTTCAGCCTCTTTTTTGATTATCTGATTCTCTCTCTATTTTTGTATTCCTTTCTATTTTTGGCCTCCTCTCTCTTATCTCTGTCTTCTCCCCCCTTTTAAGTGTCAAATGAGTCTCTTATATACCAAAGCAAGACCCAAATCTTTCACTATGTGCACTCTTTAACTTTTATAATTACCCACACTTTTACTTTAGTAAAAGTAGTCAATGTGGGCCCCCCGTGTTCCCTCTTTTTGAAAAGCAGTCAAAGTGGGCCCCCATGTTCCCTCTTTTTGAAAAGAAGACATCATTACCCACCTTTTCCTTTTTGCTTTTATCATTATGTCTGGTCCCCACCATAATTAATTAATCTGTAATTGGTTAATTCCCGTTTTACCCCTAAAACTACTGTTAGGCCCCGATTCAAAAATCTATTAACTTCAAAATTATCTAAGAACCTAAAATTAAATTACCAGCTATAACCAATCCTTAATCCGGTTCAATCAACAAATTCAAACTTAGACTATGAACAACAAATCAACAATCGGAATTATTTTGACTGAACGATATTTTTAACAACACATATATATCACATTAAATCACCGGATTAAGAACGAACTTCAACCAAAAGATGAGCACGAATTTAATCTAAGCTACTCAACAAAGACGGATGATTCAAGCGATTAAACTAGCATATTTCTATATTCCAACTTAATTCTTTTAAACGAATAAAATAAACCGAAGAAGAAATAATTTATTGAATTTCAACTTGAATTTAACCACATTAAAATTAAACTAACAATTTCTTTTACAAACTAAACTAAAATTAAACTAACAATTTCTTTTACATTAAACTTAAACTAACAACCAATTTGAATCTAACAATATTAAAATTAAACTAACAATTTCTTTTACAAATTAAGCTAAAATTAAGCTAACAAATTCTTTTACATACTAACAATTTCAACTTGAATTTAACAACATTAGAATTAAACTAACAATTTTCTTTTTTGAATCTAACAACATTAAAATTAAACTAACAATTTCTTTTACAAAAAATAAATAAAAGCACATGAAATAAACTGAAAAACTAATAAATCAAAGTTCCATTTAAATCTGAAAATTAAATCAACAAAACATATGATCAAACTAGAAAATTAATTCAACGATAGACACGAACAAAACAAGAATTGAATCATTTAACGATTTTGGATCCGGAAAATATCAAACAAGAATATGGACAAAATAAAACTTAGAAAAAAAACTAACCGGAAATGAACGACAACAACGACCGATCGACGATGAACTCGTATGGACTGTTTTTTACGACCCCATCCGAAACTCGAACAAATGAGATGGTTTGAATCTCGTTTTCGGACTGGGTTGAAGCAGCTGCAATTGGGTTTGTTTGGTTGACGAAGAAGAAAGCAGAAGCAGCTGGCCATGGCGAGCTGTAGCATCGCGGCACGGCAGCAGCAGCGGCATCGATGGAGGTTTGGTTTAGACTCAAGCTGCTCGACGTCTTGGCTCCAATGAACGGCAACTCAACTGAAACAAATCGATAGAGCTTCGGATAGGACCTCAAGAACATGGAAAGATTTTGATCTCATCTTTAAGCACGAACCCAAACGACGAAGTACTCTACGGGCTCGCTGCTGCTAGTGGTTTTTCCATTCGCTGGTGATAAAGTCCGGCAAGGCAGCAACGACGGGACAGTAGCGTCAGAAGGTGACGAGGTTGGAGAAGAAAACGCAGCAGCGTCCATGGATATCGAGCTTGCGACCTTCAACGCCACTTTGAACCATGTTTGCTGCTGCTTTGCAGTTCCACTGTATCGAGTGGGTTCATGTAGACGATGAAGCAGCAGCTGCAGTTTGTTGAACTCAAACTCGATGAAGAAGATGAAGACTCGATGAAACTCGATGAAGACGCAACTGGGTGTGTGTTTGTTTGTGTTGTGGTCGGATTTGTTGTTGTTTAACAATGGTGAAGAAGGGGTAGCCGGGGTCGTTGGGACGAAGCTGTTGACTCAAGAGTTCTTCTCTATCGGTTTGTTTCAACTGCGTTAACTATATTAGTTTTTGTTTCAGTCTTTATATTTCAAGTGTTGAAGTTGGGAGCCCGCCCATATACCCGTAGCTATGACAATAATTTAATTAACGCGCTTACAGCGACTATGAAGGTTCGAAGCATTTTTTAAACTAACTTTGTGAGGGCCATATGTTATGCCTTTTATTTGTGTATGGCGCACCTCAAATTATTTTAAAGAAAAGGTTTGTATAAGAAGGCAAACTAAAGATATTCCTACTTATATATGATTTTTAAAAAAATCAAGTATCATAACCACGTCACGGGAACCGTACCCGTAGTTGTAATAATTTAGTTGCGTGCCTAAAGCAAACTACGAGATTCATTTTAGTAGCTAAGTTATAAAATAGGACGACCATAGATTATATGATTCAAATGTATGAATGACACGCCTCAAAACTATTCAACTAATTTTAGTGACTATAGATACTCATATTTAGAGCTAATTCGAAATTAATCACAGCAACTACGTCACGGGAACCGTACCCGTAGCTATGATGATTTAATTATCTTATATTAGAGGTGAAAAATCAGCTAAACAAGCTAGCACATTTAACTATTATCGTCTATTACAGTAAGCAAAACATCATTCATGAAATGGCCAAATGAAATAATTTATTCAAAATAAGGAAAGATATTGTTAACAACGAGTATCTAAGTATCTTTCTATGCTAAAAGAAAAGCATCCAAAAGTCACCTCTTCTGAAACCAAAAATCTAAAAAAAGAATACATTAAGAAAGTATTATAAATCCTAATTCTCATATAAAAACAACGTTGTAGGAGATTTAAAAAAAAATAGTTTGACTATTCGAAATAATTTCACATTTTTGAATGCCGATGAAGCAGTTTCCAAACCATTCCGCCGGAAAACTCGATGAAGACAAAAATATAGCTAAACATGGAATTATCGGATAGCTAGCGAAGCCCTTAATCCTAAAGTAGAAACTAAGTATTTCATATGAAAATTACTTTTAAATTACTTGATGGTTTTAATCACATTCAAAATTAATAAAAATCCGCTCGGTTACATATTGATGGTAGGAATCAAAAACTGAACAATTCACATAAATGAAACCAAATGTCGAAAATACTGAATATCAAGTAAAGCGTAACACAAAGGAATCTGAAATTGAGTCTTTAAATTCCAAATGACTGGAGAGTTCCCATATGACCTTGAATGGCTAAACGGCAAAAGAAAATATGCATAAGCAATGATATTTGAAACATGAAGAACAGTTGACTCGCTCACAGCTCAATACACTTATTTAAATTGAAAAAAAAAACTAAACAAGATGTTGGTTACCTACCATATTGTAACATTCAACTATCGGATTTAACACAAAAAGAGCAAAAGGCGACAAAATCAATCACATATTGGACCAGAATTCAACGGGTTAAGAAAGAAACATGCCGTCACAGTCACGTAAATTAACACATCCACCAATCAATAAATACAATTAATAACAAAGAGATGAAATAACGAGGATGAACCTGCTGCGAGTTGAATTACTCTAAAATATCAGTGAATACAATTTCAACGACCAAACTCCAAACGCAGAAAACAAACGACACCGCGAGCCACGAACAGCAAACAGCGAACTCTCTAAGCCTCAAGTGGAATCCATTTTTAACAACAAAAATTTCCAGATCGAAACAAAAGAAGCAGACTATATATCTTTTTGTGTTTTTTTTTAATACTGAAATCAAGAAAATTGAAGGGATTTTTATATATTTTTCTTTGTCTAAAAAAAACTCGACTAAGAGAAACAGAAGAATAGAGCC